AGGATAGGATAGGATAGGATAGGATAGGATAGGATAGGATAGGATAGAATAGAATACTTTATTGGCCAAGTGTGATTGGACACACAAGGAATTTGTCTTGCTCTAAATACTCTCAGTATACATAAAAGATACATTCATCAAGAGTCGAGAATCATAAGGTACAATACTTAATGATAGTCATAGGGTACAATAGCAATCAAATCATATTAGGAAACAGTCGTATAAATTGTAAGGATATATATCCCTCCAGATCTTAAGTTCTATACCTTTGTTTAGAACATTGTAGACTTGGCCTTCACTTATATTATTTTCACTAAAGTCATCCACATCAGAGCAGACCCCTGGACCATCAGAGAGGAAGGAGATGTTGCTATGAGAGTAGGGAGACTCAGATATAATATGGCTATTGGAAGAGGTCACTGAGCACTCTTGTAGTTTTGCGTGGAGTGCCTTGATCGATTGTTTCTTCTGCAGCTCCTTGTTCATCCTGAGGAAAGGGAAACCTTGAAGATTATCAAAGATATTGATACAGCCCACTCTTTCAGAATATATAATTCCCCCCTCTCTGATCCTGTGATCTTTGTACTCTTAGTCAGCCAATAAACTCCCACAGTCTGCAAATGATCTAAATAATCCCACGAAGAATATTATGGTTCTTTGCACAGTCAGCAAGATGTTCAGATTGGACTTGACATTTTTGCCCACCTATCAAGTTCTTCCCAAGGAACTGAGATAGGCAAATGTGGATATTTGATGGTGTTACAGATATTGTCACAGGATGTGGGGTTATTATTATTAATTTTGTTATTGCTCTAAAGGATTTCATACTGGTATGGAATAGATTCCAGCACAAGGTATTCAATAAATTGAAGTGCCCTGTATTTTATGAAGAAAGACAATTGTTTCTTGACAATTTGAGAAGGATTTTTTTCTTGAGGCAAGCAACTTGGCCAAAAGGATAAAAATAAATAAATAAATAAATAAATACAAATGAGCACTTATCAAGTTGCAAGCTATATAACCCCCTCAACTACATGCAAATTATACAGTAAAATGAATGACAAAATAAGCATGTATCTAACAATGCATAATAATTACCTCATAAGCAATTCTGGACTTGTTTTGTCCTCCATGTTTAGATCATTCCCTAAAAACAGAATTTTAAAAAGTTAGTAATTATGCAGCTTCTCCGTCATAGAACCAGAAGTATCGATCACTTGAAATCCAACCCATATCCTTTTTTTTAGTGAAAAATTAAAAACAGAGAAGCATGAAAGCTTACAGAATAAAAAAGATGCCATTACAATGTTTCCAACTAGCTTCCATTTTAAGCTACTCACATATTGTGCCCATGATTTTATAGTTTTCTCCATAATCTATGTTGGACATACTATGACCTTGTAAAGCCTAATTGTAGGTTTGCTTTCACCTATAGTTCCATTAGCTGTTTTGGACATGCACTTATTAGGCTTAATCTAATGAAATATGGGGTACTAACTTTCTCCCACATTGTTAAGTTGTGCTTGTGTTTATGGGATTTTATTGTTGAGGGATATGTGTGTGTGACACACACACACACACAGAAAAAGAGAGGGCGTGCATCAGTTTTAATTCCATGTTTCATAGTGATAAAGTATGAAATCAACTTAAATGTTCAGCACCCCTCATTTATTTGGTTGGCATCCTGGACTAAGGCCAGAAATTCCAACCCTTGTTTTATAGAGTTTTATGCAGGCTCTTTATGCAAGTTCCCCATATAGTTTTCAGTATCTCTATGGAGTTGTCTGTCACTTGCATTACATTTCTTTCTTTCTTTCTTTCTTTCTTTCTTTCTGTAGCATTGTGTAGTACTTTTTTTCAATAAGTCCATCTATTAGACAGTGGTCACCAAACTGTGGGGCATGGACATCTTTTCAAGATGTATGAGATGTACATCTTTTTGGAACACTACCCTTTATGCTATAATGCAGAAGTACTGGTGAAAGAAAGCTATAGGAAATCTATTTTGAAAACCCCCAAATAAAGCTTCTAATTTAAACTTTGCGAGTGCCTATTGAACTCACCTTGATTCAGTTTTCTGGCCAACTGGTCTGCCAACTGGTTCCCTTCTGCAAGTTGTTTACGGAAGCTCTGCCCCAAGTAGTAGTCAATGTCAGTGCTTCGTAGAAGCTCTTCAAAGGATTTGATGGTGTCCTTGAAGTATTTGTTTAGCATATGACACACCTTTTGTTCCTCTCGCATCAGCTGGCGCAGATGGGAGAGCTCCCGAGCTTGAGCTTGGACTAGTGAGTCATATTTCCTTGGGGAAAAGGTAGCAAACAATTAGCCAAAGTTATTAAGAGATCCAATTTCAGAACAAGTAAGAAACAAATTTTGCCTTGTTTCTGTGCACTTTGCCCCATTCATCAGAAGGACATTTGAAGTATCTCATACATTCATCATTGAGAGCTGAATCCACTTTCACATTCTAGAGTGAGTTTACAAAATCTTAACAGGAGAGTGGATAATTCAGAAATGATTCATATATTACATAATATAGTGTTTTATATTAATTTTATCTAGTACTTATCTTGCAGTAGTTTTCATGCAGAGAATTATTATTTGGTGTTATCAGAAAAAGGAAGCTAGAATTGTACTGTAGAGAGATTAACTGCCCAATGAAGTTTAGTTTCATCATACCATCTGCTTGAATATGTAAAAGCCAACCTCTTGAAGTAGATACTTCATTTCCCATTGTGATATTGCAGAAACCTATGCCAATGATTTAGCTGATCATATTTATCCCTGCATCTTGGAATGTCCTACCCCAAGGAGGCTGTACATTTCAATTCCTGTGGCAAAAATTCCTTTGGCTTAGTCTCATTCAGATAAGCTTCCAGCAAGGATATTCTCTGTATAAGTCTGGACAAATCTTTGTTGGGCTGGAGACTTGGTGGGCAGAAAGTCCCAAAGCTATCAGATTGCCAGGCTTCATCTTCATCAGTCATACTGTGGGAAGGAGAATTGCCTTGCTTCAGTTTGAATGACTGATCTCCCATAGAACCATAGTCACTGGTAGTGGATATAGAGTGCACACAACTTTGTAAGTTCTGGATAATTTTGTGGGAACTTTGCAATTGCATCTGGAGGACCTGAATATGCTGACGGAGAACTGCAGCAGCATCACTTTGGCTGACCCATGTTTCCTGTTTCACCACTCTTTTTAGAGGGCCCTCCAGTGATTTCTTCCAAAACTTTAGTTGCTCATCATGATCTCTGCATTCTAAATAAAACAAAGCAACAACAACAAAAAGACTAAGAATTAGAACTAAATAAATAATCAAGCTTTTCTTCCAGGCAAATTGAGTTTGGATCACAGCAAATTCCAATTTTCTAATACATCTTTTGCTTGTAAATATCTACAATTTGCATGTGCAATGATGACCAAAATGGATTTTTGAAATATTTTGTTTTCTGTACCTTCTTATATTAAGAATTTAGTATTTATATTAAGTATTTAGGAGTCCTTTATAAGTCAAACAATTGAAAGCATTAAGGATGGCAGCCAGAGAAACATCTTATATTACCAGGGCTTGTAGCCTCATCCCTTTCAGCCTCAGTTTCACTTCTCCCACAGGTTTCGTAGCCCAGGTCTTGAATATCCACCTGCATCTGCTTGTTATCCTGCTGTACCACAGGTTCACCTGTCACAAGAAATGTTTTAGTTATTTTCCATTGATCTTTTGCCAGAAATCCAGATCCTCACAAGATATGGCATGCATACTAATAGTTTGGTTTAAAACTTAATAGGAATGTCCAGTAAAAGGCAGGAGTTATTCAATGAGGTTTGGAGGACTCCATGTGCACATACTTATGATTAAGTACATAAAAATCCACTAAAAATACCATGATAGCAAATTTGGTGAGATTATCCAAAAAGATATCTGTGATAGGACCACTAGCTACAATGGTATCTGCCTGTTCAACCAAGAAACTGTGCAGATGGACTGAAGACTTCACTTACTTTTTGTGGAAAATATTTATATGTATGAGGTGGTTGACCTATCTTTTTCAGCTTTGTTTAAACTATTATGAAGACACACTGTTATGTAGTCAATTGCCATTGCAGAAAGTTCTACAGAAAGGAGGAATGTTCTCTTGAAACAGTCCATATTGCTGTGCAAGCACTGGGTTTTTTGAAGTTTAGAAATTATATGACCACGTTGCACATTATGTTTAAAATGAAATAAGTACATTTCACATCCAGACTTATCATTTATTTAAAACTTGGATTGAATCTAATTATATAATTTTTAATAATTTTCAGACATTTTAGCTGGAATATCATGTCCTGTCTATTCCCAAACAGGAAAATAGTTCATTCATTTGTCAATCACAGCAGAATGTTAACATACTTTTTAAACCTTCTCAATGAATTAATAATAATTATTTTTGATAAAACTAAGTAATATTGATTTCAATTCACATATTGATATTGTTTCCATACAAATTGCTAAACTATGCCTTTCAGCATTCTCTTATTTCAATTTCTTCCTCAGATAATTTCACTGATTTTATTTTTAATTTCATTCACTCTGCTGGAGCTTCTCCTGTAAAGCTCTCTTTACTTAATTCAACAAAGGGTTTTCTTTTTTGTCACAATCATGCATTTTCTAGGTTTCTTTTAATCTTTACTAAAACATGGAATATCTGGATGTGAAGCTGGCAAGAAGGCTTTTTCATGGGCACCCTCTTTGGAAGTCCTTCAACTCAAGAACATGTTCCTTTTGTTTAAAGAGGGACTAAGCAGATAAAATAAAAATATTAATAAATAAATAACACCCCTCCTCAAAATCCAGCAAAATAGTACAGATACTTTGCAATTTGTCACTGTTAAATGTTATTTTTGGCCTAGTTCTCAAGATTATTTTGATTTGCATTTGTCTCTTCCAGGTATTAACTATTTAGCCTAATTTTATGTCAAGTATATACATACTGTACAGTTGATATTTTCATCCAAGTAATTCAAATGTTGAAGAACTATGCATCTTGTCACTTTTGGTGGTAATATTACTCACTGAGTAGAGCTTTGTATAATTTGAGCTGGGCTATCTGTGCCTGGATGGTGGCTTCTGACACCAAGAGTTTGTCTTGTAATTTGTGACACTGTTGCCTCCTCGGGGGATGTTCGGACTTCTGACCAAAATTACTTGATCCTCTGTTTCCTTCAGCCTGCAAGAAGAAACATGAGTGCTTCAACCATGGCATGATAGATGTGGGTGGGCTTTGTATTATTTGGCCTAGAAGGTAGATGGTGTCAGGCCTGCCATCTTCAGAATCTTTGCTTTGCTGGCATCCCACCATAAAATGCATGGGAGTGGGGAGGCAATTAGGGAAGTAAGGAATGGGATGACAGGAACCAAAAGGTGTCAATCCGGACTAAACCAGTTGATCAAGGAGAATGTATGCAAAACTACATCAGAGAGGTGCCATCCTTGAAAGCTGTTCTCAAAACATCAAAAACAGATACTATTGGACACTAATGGACTGGTCAAGGGAGGAGACCCTTTTTCGAAAGGGAAAATTGCAACCTTTCAGCAGGACTACTCAGATCCAGCTTTGCTTTCTCTGTAACCACTTGACTTTAGTAGAAGAACCAAGAAATGGAGTCGAGGGTCTTTCTAGCCTACATGTCTGGTCAGGACCAGTCTGACAGATGGATAATGTATGCCATACAGTTTGAATCCCCTCTTTAACATTTGCCAAAATTTCACTAGCAAAGGTACATACGTCTGTACTTTGTTTTTAGGAATAATTTAAAAAAATATTTTTATTGAACAATTTTCCTCATTTTGTAATACAATTTTCATTTTTTGCAACACTTCAGTATCGGTATTACATACGTTTCCATACATTTTGTGTGTGTGTGTGTGTGTGTGTGTGTGTGTGTGTGTGTGTGTTATTCTACTAAACCAGTGGTTCCCAAAGTGGGTGGTACTGCCCCCTGGGGGGTGGGGGGTGGGATGCCTTGGGGGGGGGCGGTAAGAGGCAAGGGGGCTGGCAGGGGGGCACTAAGACATGACAGGGAGGCGTTCAAGGTGCCGGCCTCATAGGGTCACTGAGCCCATTGACTGTTTCATCGCTTCATAGCCGGCGCCTCGAATGCAGAACCCGCATGCAGTGAGCCTTGCCAAGCCTGGCAGGGAGGGGGAGAGAGGTGGGAGGTGGTGGAAAGAGGGTGCCTTAAGCTTGCAGGCTGCCCTCTCCGGTGGAAGTGGCAGAGGCACGCCAGAAGGCCCGAAAGTAAAACCCTCCCAAGGCGCGCATTGAAAGGGGTGGGTGGTCCGGCATTAGGTCCCCCTTCCCCAGAGGAGAACAAAGGAGCACGCAGTGCCCACCCAGCCTCCGCCTCTCCAGCCAGCCGGGCTTGCGCACAGAATTCGGGTGGGTACAGCTGCGGCTCTCCAAGGCACGTGGCTCGGTTTGGTTTGGCTCTACGTGGCTGTCCTGGACCTAGAACCTAGCCTCCCTCTGTAGCCCAGTTCTTCCGACTGAGGCCTGCGCTTGCTTGCTTGCTTGCTTAGTTTCCAAGCGATCGTTCCCTCCGCCTCCGCTGGTCTGGTCTGCTTCCGCACGCCTTCCTCCTCCCGGGCGGAGTATAAAGATGGGCGGAACGCTTCACTGAAGTTGGGAGTCTCTGAGCGCGTGCAGAGTACCTCCCCTTGTTTGGCCCGATGGAAGTGGACCTTGGGTTGAAGCAAAGAGCATGAGGTCGGCTGCATTACTGCCCTGGGGAGGTTGACATTGCAAAATTGGATGCCGAAGGGGCAGAGGGGCAGCTGCAGGGCGCTGGAGAAGGGGCAGAGGGGCAGCTGCAGGGGGCTGCAGAAGGGACAGCTGCAGGGGGCTGCAGAAGGGGCAAAGGGGCATCTGCATTAAGGAGCAGGAAGATCTTAGCCATGGTTTATTCATTGACAAAGCCGGAATCAAACAGCATGCTAAACTCTAAACCAGAATGGCTGGGTTGATATATTCAGTCCGTGTTTCTCAAGCTTGGCAACTTGTGTGGACTTCAGTTCCCACTCTGGCTTTGCTCTACTTTCCCAAAGTGCCACCACTGTCACATTCTGTCTGTCTGTCTGTCTGTCTGTCCGTCCATCCGTCTGTCCATCCGTCCATCCATACATCCATCCATCCCTACATACATACATACATACATACATACATCCAAAAGGTCTGCCTGTCTGTCTGCCTTTCTGTCTACCTACTTATCTACCTACCTATCTACCTACTTATCTACCTACCTTATCTACCTACCTATCTACCTACTTATCTACCTACCTATCTACCAATATAGATCTATCTATCTATCTATCTATCTATCTATCTATCTATCTATCTATCTATCTATCTATCTATCTATCTATCTCTATCTATCTATCTATCTATCTATCTATCTATCTATCTATCTATCT